GGTCCTTTGCCTGCTGCAGGAAAGGAAGGGGAAGTGATGGGGGAGTGCGAGGACGGCAAGGAGTACAGGTGCTGGGAGGAGCTGTTGCCGGACGCGCTGGGCCTCATCTTCCGCAACCTGCCGCTGCAGGAGGTGCTCACCGTCGTGCCGCGGGTGTGCAAGTCCTGGGGGCGGGTGGTCGCCGGCCCCTACTGCTGGCAGGAGATCGACATCGAGGAGTGGAGCCAGCAGCAGAGCAAGCCGGAGCAGATCGGCCGCATGGTCGAGCAACTCGTCGGCCGCAGCGGTGGCTCGTGCCGCCGGATCAGTGTCTCCGGGCTGCCCTGCGATCCGCTCTTCTCGTTCATCGGAGACAAGTAAGCGTGAAATCTGACAACGCTCTCTCTATTTTTTTTCCTGTCTCATGAGCCGTGGACTGTTTGAGCGAACGAATACTGTTTTTCTCCCCCCGAACAAATCAGGCAGTGTCAGCCATGGCTTTTCAGCCAAGCGAACATGGCCTCTGTGTTTCCGTTGATTTTGTCACCATTCCTGTGGGAAGTGAACATTTCTGCAATTTTTTTTTGTGATATCCATTTGCGTAGTGCAGTAGATTAGAATTGTTCTATACGCTCATTATAACACGCCCTGAGTTTTTGAATACTCAGATAAATTCGGAAGGTAGCCTCTCCATCAGGTTTGGTTTCAGACTGTCGGTTATCTTAGTGGTGTGGTGGTGTTTACTTGCAGATTTGCTGAGAACAGGCAATTAGTCTGTATATTTTGAATTTCTGATGTGCAAATTCAAGTCCATTTATTTGTTTGTCTAGGCTGGCTTACAGATCATTCTGATTGATTAGGAGGCTAGAAGTGGGCCTAGTCAAACATTGAGATTTGGGGCTGGACCGCTGGAGCAATAAAATCTGCTCTCGCAGAGAGTATGAATTCAAACTGCTGATTCTCAGTACGTCGTGTGAAGGAAAATGGTAGATACGGAGCTTGCAGCATTATGCATTCCAAGGCATGTTTTAGCCTTGAATCTCACTTGTAGGATATGGATTCCCTACGAGGTTGATCAATTGATATAGTCTTGTCTACTATACAATCATATGTTTTATGTAGTTTCAACACATGAAATTTTTTTGCACCATAGGATTAAGATCCAACAGCCTCCACTCTTCTTCTACCTCTATCCTCCAGCTTTCACAGATTACATATTACAATTTTTTTTTTCTATAGAAGGACAAATCACAGATCCACCACCGCCACTGTCATGGCCGGTGCGGGTGCGGGCGCGGGCGCGGCCGCCGGGGCGAGCTCGCCGGCACCGGTGGTCACCGGTGAGAAAGAGAGACGGAGAGAGAGAAAAAAAAATTCAAGTTTTTTTTTTCTAAAACACGTGGTTGTACAGCATTTCTGATTGATATATACTGTTCTGAATTGTTTGCATGATGAACTAGGATTAGACATTGTTTCCGAATTGAGCTAATATATTCTCTGCCCATGCGCAATACTCCTACAAATTATTGGATTTGCAAGTACACACACAACACACAAGTACTGGCACGCACATGCATACACTCATCAGGCTCTCACAATTACACCACGTCCCATTGCCTATTGGCAGGTCAGGTCAGGCCATTAGGGGCATTCACAGTCTATCAGTTGGTCCGCGTATTGTAGTAGTAGCTGTCATACATTTCAGATTTTGCACTGACCGATCCTGCCGCATTTTGTTCATGTGTTCGCTGATCATCTACTAGTGCACGAGCCCTCCGGACCTTGGAGATTCCCAGGAGTGAGATCAGCGACTCGATAGTGGAAACCGTGGCGCCGCGGCTATCAAACGTCACTTTCCTAGACATCAGCAGCTGCACCAAGATCGGAGCCCGTGCCCTGGAGGCGTTCGGCAAGCACTGCAAGTCCCTGGTGGGGCTCCGGCGGGTGATGCACCCGATCGACCTGGTGGACAAGGTGTGCCAGCACGACGAGGCGCACGCCATCGCGTGCAGCATGCCCAAGCTCCGGCACCTGGAGATGGGGTACATGCTGATCGCGACGGAGGCGGTGCTGGAGATCCTGGGGCAGTGCCGCGACCTCAAGTTCCTGGACCTGCGCGGCTGCTGGACCGTGGACGACAAGTTCCTGCGGGAGCGCTACCCGGGGCTGCGCGTCCTGGGCCCGCGCGTCGACGACTGCTACGAGAACAGCTACTGGGAGGAGTGCTCCGACTACTCGGACGACTCCATCTACTCGTGGGAGTTCATGGACGACGTCGACGACGACGACTACGCCGTCGGCAGCGACGACGAGGCCATCTGGGACGACGGACAGGGCCTGGAGAACCTCGAGGTGAGGTTCTACGGCGGCGGCTTCAGCGAGAGCTTCGCCGGCTTCGACTGGCCACCGTCGCCGTGACCCGTGAGAGCTGCTGCTGCGGTTGCGTTGACCGTTTGCGGTTCTTGCTTGTAGTGTGTGCGTGCGTGAGTCTTTGTGTGTTGTTCCCAAGCTATGCTTGCAGATGTGTGCTGTGCTGCTCTAGTACTGTGTCTGCGACACCAGTCCTTCCTCTAGCTTGCAGATATGTGAAGTGAACTGCTAATTGTACAATCTAGATGTAAACTCCGGTGTTTACACGAAGGAAATCAGTATGCTGCACCGGTGAGATTTCACCGATGCCATTGCCATCCCCATCCTAGTCGGCTAGTCGCCTAGTCTAGAGAAAGAGAGAGGGGGAGAGAAAATACACGAACACTGATCTTTGTATGGTGTCTCCCGATGAGTTCATCAATGTCAGGCAAACATGGCGCAAGGATCTCCTGATGAGTAGTATCATTACGCAGTGCAAAAGATGGCACGGCGTGGCCTGCGGCCTCACGTAGGAGTACTGTATTGGACAGGTCGACGTGCAGTGCCGCAGGCGCAAGGGAAGGACACTGGACACAGCAGCGGAGAAGAGCACCCTGCCCCGCTCGCTTTGAGATGCGCATGTCAATGCAGCGGAGGAGCGGCAGGGCACGGCAGCCCCTGGGCACACGCAACGCAAACAGCTAAAGAAAAGCTACCCCGCTTTTGGACCGGACCGGACCACGGCGTCTGGCTGCCTGATCCCAAGATTTTGCCCCGAAACCATGTGACAAAGCGGGATCTTTTCTCAGAATCGGTGGGGAATTCGATGGATGGGTGCCTAGTAGTAGGCCTACTAGCCTGGGTGGCGTCCGTCCGTCCGCCCGTCCGTGGCTGGCAATGGCACTGGCATCTGGCAGCCCCGCCCTCTCGCTGCCTGCCGTGCCGCCTGCGCTGCGCCTCTGCGAGAGCCTTGGGCCTTGGCGCTGCTGCACGCTAGATTCTGACGGGTTTTTTTTTCCCAATTCCCGTGCGGGTGCAGCCATTTATCTACCTTGAGGTCTACCAGCACTAGATCGCTTGGCCAGGATTTGCCTACTTGACATCACGCGGCTGGTGTACATAGGAACCTGTGTATCAGGATTGGTTCTTTTGCAGCTGGTTGCACTGCTCAAAGATCCACACAAACAAATGAAGAAAGGGCCATGCATATGAACATCTATCTATATAAACTTGAGTTGAACATTTTCTTTCCTCTTTCTTTTTAATGCTGGAGCGAGTCGAAGAGCTACAGGCGCAGTGAAAACAAAAAAAGACAAGTAACTTTGATCTGAATAAAAAAGATGGCTGTGGGGCCACTGTACTGTACTACATACACGTTTTTGTCAAATACTCCTACTTGTACAGCACTACACTTTGCTGTGGCTGTGTGGGCCAGTGCCCGAGATCTTTCTTGATTAGTGCGGTCTCAAAAGGATAGGAGAGCATAAACTTTTTGGAAATCCACAATCGACACCGGCATCAGGATTGTTAATGAGGATTTCTGAATAGGATGTCTGTAATCTTGCTATTCCAAGCCATGCTCTTTTTCACTTTCATTTTTATGTTTTCCCTGTGTCCTTACCTCACCTGCCACGCCTTTGTTTGTCCCCTAGCTTTATTAACTTTGCAAGATTCTCTGGTTGGGACTTGTGGTTGACAATAGCATGTGGGAGTAGGCCTGCCGGCTCAGCCTTATGCCCTTATCAAGTTGTTGCTGCTCCTGTAACCATCGCTGTGCTCTGCTACTGTGTCCAAACATAGGGCGTGGGAACTAATCAAGGCTTAACTGTCTTTGGCATCAGCAGCAGCATGAGAGCAATCAGAGGCCGTCTGCAATATTCTTTGTGTGTTGGAATGATGGGCAAAAGGGCGTGTGGGGGGTAATGCTAGTATATTTCAGAGACTTTATGTCGGCCCTGCGGTAACAACGGATCAGCTTTGCCCGCGGTAAAACAGTCTGGTAAAGGGAGACTGATTATTAGTTCGTCTTTTGATTTGCAATTGTAAGCTTAGTCTGGCACTCTGGTGTAACAACGGGACTGATTAGTTAAGGCCTGAGGCCCTACGCATCACCGGACGGTGTGCTTGGAACTCGGAATCCGACAACAGAATAGATGCTCAACACTTCAACAGAGACCTTGATGATTGTGGACGCTGATGCTGTTACTGCAGGAGAATCCACTATAACCGAACCGAGGTAGTTGCAATCTGCAAACAAGACAATGCATGCGATGCTTTCCCTTCATATAACTAATCTCCCTCAATTCCTCAAATGAGCAAGGAACGATCCACTCCCATGCCCGAGCTTGTCACTGTCACTGCATCTCATTCGGTAAGTGCTGTATAGCACCGTCGTCAGAATCAAGAACGACAGAAAATGCAAACAATAGTGACTCTGGGAAAGCACGGGGATATATTGCGTTCTTGCTACGTCCTGTATTACAAGCCAATACCACGTGTCGCTTATGAAGGCACTTAATACAGAGGTCAGAAAAGGCAACTGATACAGGAGCGTTGAGCCGCAACAATGTCTATTATCGAATAGTGCAAACGATACAGCAGCAGGTTTAATTATTCCCGGGACTGAGCAGTGACAATGGCTGGTTTTGCATTGAGCTTCACTACCACGAACTTCAGATGTAAGGTCTGTAGCGCATAGGGCGGCGGAATCTGGGAGCCCTCCTGCAAAACCATAAAAGGTAATGTTACAAAAGAAAACTGGAAATCCACATTGGACTGGGGCCTGTTTGGTTCCGCAACTCACGAACGCACGACAGCGTTTAAGCTGAGCGCCTCCGAGGCCGCGTTTTGGGAAACGCCCGCCCGCGTTCGTTTCCAACCGGACATCGCGCGTTGGTCGCAGTCCGTTTGGCAGGATTTTTGGCTTATCTCGATCGTAATGCGCAGATACGCGGAACCAAACACGCCCTAGCACACCACAAGACTTACCCATAACCATAAGGGGGGAAGTACGGTGCTCCATATGATCTATAGGGGTAGCCATGGTAGGGATTATACCCACGTGGTGGACGCTGCTTCATCCCAGGGACATTAGTCCTCTTCGGTGCAACCTGTCAAGCACATAGCAAAAAAGTAAAGCAGTTGAGAAGCGTTTTTTTTTAATGTCTTGAGCCTCTGCCAAATCTTTCTGCACCTTAATCTGGCGACCATGCAATTCAGATTCATTCAAGTTAAGAGCTTCCTGGACAGCTTCTTGTTCCAGAAATTCAACATAAGCAAAACCTTTTGGCTGCCCAAACTTGTCAGTCAAGATTGTCACCCTGTTGACAGTTCCACATGCTTGGAAATGCTGCTGCACTTCTTCTGGGGTGCAAGCATAATCAACCTGCAGTTACGATTGTATGTCAGTTAAAATGATGTTAACTTAGTGCCGACTGCCAAATGGATAACAGAAATGTAAGGCCACAAACTACATGTTATACCATTAACCAACACACTAGGTAAACTAAGCACCAAACAGGTAAAAAAGGTCTACAACACAAAATGCAACTAAGTGGAGTAATTGATAGTTGAGGCCAGTCTTGTATAAATGAAGAAAACCATCACTGAAGCAGTGACCACAGTATAGGGGCAATTTAGTTGATGCTGAACTTTGAAATGCTTATAAGTTATAATAACTCTTAAAAGACAAGTATTCCTTTTGAAAATAAACTTGGTGCAGTCCTAGAATGTTATTCATTTTAAAAGCTGACTCTCTAATAGACTTACTTTTGAAGGCATATGTATGGCAAAATAGGAGAATCTGTTGAAGTAAGAAACAATGTGCATTTAAATGGTATTGAAACTTAGGTCTAGGTGCCAGTTTAGAGGGAAATCGAGTACAGATTTTTGCAGGTCAATATGTACTATACAAGGCAAACGTCACCACAAAGGGATATTGGGGAGAACTGGCAGGCCAAGTTGACTAATACGTAAAACAAACAACATAGAAAGGGGTATGATGGAGATACAAGAGTGAACAGTAAATACAAAAAAACAATACTTAATACTTGTTTAGGTCACAAAAACTTGATGTTTAGGACAAGATTTGATCAACATTAAAAAAAATACAAACATCAATAACTACATACATTAGTCTGGAAGCATGTCAGTTATATGTATCGGTTTTTTTCTCAAACTGTGCAGCAGAGCTGCGAGTCATTTCATTAAGAAGAAAAGGAGAATAAAACAAGCGAGAGAAGCAGAATGCCTTCTTCCCAACCAAGCACACGCGTGCCTAGCAAAGGATTAGCTAAAGACAACCACCAAATACTACAAGTGACCACCACCAGCACATCCGCTATATAGAAGGATTAATCGACCACGGTGAGCGACATTAGGGTCAGCTCCTGGAGAGCTAAAGCCCCAGCAGTAAACCATAAACTGCTCTCATGTGGAACAGCCTGCAGAACAGCTCTAACACATGGTCTATTTCCATCAAAAACACAATTATTCCGATGCTTCCCTAGTTCCCACCAAACACAACTGTTCAGTTATATGTGTCGATTTGTGTTCAAAATACTTTCAAAATCTCTTATATTTGAAGAATATATTCTAGAAGTAATCAGTGGTCAAAGATACGCATTGAAGACCGTGCAAAGTCAAATGTATATTGTGACCAGAGAGGGTATCATACCAGGAGCCTGTGTTTGGCACGGCTCCTCTTGAGGGGCTCTTCCGGAGGAGCCACAATTTGTGGCTTCTCCAAAACAGCTCCGGCTTCTCTCCTTTTTACTGAAAAATGGCTCCTCCAGGAAAACATTTGGCAGGGCTCCTCTGGAGGAGCCAGAGCCGGAGCCGAAGTGGAGCCCTGCCAAACAAACTTGCGGCACTGGATTTTTTGCAATTTCAGACTAATGCAAGAATGCAAAGGAAACAAGGATCCATTAGTCATTTTTTTCCTTGTAGCATCCAGAACTGTTCATATTTCAGCTAATTTCTACATTAAATCTGCATGTCACTAGCATGCACCAAAATATCAGGCGGCATTTATTAACACCATCAAGGAGGTGCAAAACAATTTTCATAACAGCATTGCTATTTTTTAGCGAATCTGCAATCACTCGTATGCACCAAAATACCAGGCAGCATTTATTCTCATGTTAGTCAGAGAAAGATGTCATCACTATATGATCCGATAAAAAAACAACTGTTAGGTGAAATGTGGAATAAAAGACAAAGGTAGGAAGATAGCCAGAACACAAGTTAAGAAACAGCAAAGAATAGAGTCAAGATTAATAAGGTTTCCTACTGTTACACTTACATGTCATACTTATGCACCACTCAGGTGATATCAGTGAACCAGCAGCTACGGACCACACCAGATTCCACCATGCCGGCTCCAGTCAAAAAGCGCCATCCTTCTTTTGCTTCGCCAGGGAGGTCATCTAACCTATGATATCTATATTATACCTTTTTACTCTTTCCTCTCTTTTTTCCTTTCTTTTTTCCATGCACTTTTTTTTATATTTTTCAGAGATTTTTCTATCCTTTTTTTTTCTTTTCATTCTATGCTAACTCTAAAACATGACACAGATGCCCATTAGTCAATTTGAAAGGCTTGCTCAAGCACACTAGCCCTGCGACCATCACCATTACTTAATTAATGCACGAAAACAATAAAATAAAACACCATAAAGACAGATCAAAGGAGTATTGATAGCAAAGGATGATAGTAAGCACACATAAAGCATTTCATAATAGCAGCGCGATGCATTCTGAGGAATGGCATCGAGAATGGGGGCAAGGAGGCAACATCAAAATTAGGAACAAGCTTTGACAATCCCATCTGCCAGTAAAGACATCCAGCACTAAAACATTTTTCAGTAGGCACCAACCATAGAATTTCAGAAGAAGGGAAGTAGCAAGGTAGTTGGCTTTTTGAGAGAAATAATTCATAACTAAGCAAGTGCCAATGAAATACTAGTAGGCAATATGTATGTGCCATTACATAATAGATATATCCATGTTTCATACTCCGTGCTTCATACACATTGAATAACAAAAATATGTTACATGGAAATTTAAAAGTGACATAACATATTCACGCTAATACGCATTGGATGCATATACTCACAATAATAAAGAGAGGGAGATAAGAGAGATTTTAAATTCTTACATTTCCAACATAGACAGAGCGGGCATCCACCTGCTCCTTTGCCTCAGCTGTAGATGCACTAGGGTCACCTCCTGCAAAACAGAAAAGCTATTATGTCAAGAGACATTGCATCTTCTTGAACTAAACAAGCAAGCTAAAATTAAAGTAAACGCTTGACCAAATCAAGTCATGCACTCATGTTGGACTTGGACCAGCATATCCACCAGAAGACAAATGAAGTAAGGCATAAAACAAAATCTGGAAGCCTCATCATATTTGAATTCTCCTTTCGGATATACACTAGGTTGAAACATGGGATGTGGATCTACATGCACACAGAAGAGGTACTAGTCCCTCTGATCACAAATACTTGGCCAAACTTTTGAAACTTTGACAATCATTATTTATAAAATTTAGTTCGGAAGCATGAATATCATAAATGTAGATCAGACTTAAAAGCTTTACTTATCTCATAGTATGGCATAAAATATTGGTCGAGCATGTCATGTCCAAAAAAATGACATGTATTTTTTACAGTAGCGAGTGCCAATTTGATCAACATAAATATAGATCACCAGAAGGAAATCCCTACATACACAAGATGTCCATACACTGCGCAGAAGAACTTTTCATTTAAAACCACCAAACAGTACCCAAGACATAATAAAATTAACCCACGGAACAAAGTACGGAACTACTCAGAAGAATGAAATCAATATTTTAGTAAAAGAACTAGTTCCATTGCATGTACATGAATGATGCATCAATGGTTAGTGTTACTATCTGGAGTATGCAGTAAGCAATAGAAGAGGGATTGTCGATTTGCCATACTGGGGATTAGTGAATAAGATATGAATGATACAAGTGGACTTCTAAGAAGACAGAAACACCAAGAATAGGATGGAAAATATAGGAGGCCTAGGGACGAGTATGACAACAAGGGGTAGGCATACATGGGAAATATAAACTTTATCAAGAAAGCTTCTCAGCGAGTTCCTGGTCTTGTGCATAAGAAAAGAGCCTCAGCAACAGAATATGAAAGGACATCTAAAATCCATGTCAAATTCGATTCTAACTGCTCTGTGATCAGAAAACACAAATCTAAGTTACATGTACAGCATGTAAGCAAATTAAATTAAGAATTCAAGGTGTGTAGAAAATATGTATGGCATGATCACATACTTCACATCAACTGAACAGGTTAAAAAATTTAAGGAAGTGAACAGACGTAGGATTTGTCACAATCTCGCAATTTTATTTTACCAAGCTAACCAAATAACAAATTCGGCCGTAGTTACAGACACTGATCTTAACTCGCTCGAACACACTTAAAGCTTCTTGTACACACAGATCGTCCAGGTATATAGCATATCAAACCGCTCTAATGAAGCCTAAACGCACCGCAAAAAAGCACCAAGCATCGAAAAGGCAAGGTGGGAGAGCACATAGGAAGACAACCTTGCATCTCCTTGGCGACCTTGGCCTGCATATCGCGGAGGGCGGCGGCCTCCTCCTCCATCTCCTTCAGCCTGCGCTTCATCTCGTCGAGCTCCTGCAGCTGCACGCAACCCAAGGGGGTCAACAATCCGCAAGGACCTAGGGCTAGGGTATAGCGTTAGACACACGGATCCAGAGGTTGTACCTTCGCCGCGTCATCCCCGGCGGCGGCCATATCAACGTCGGCGCCGTCCATGTCGCCGTCCTCCGGGATCTCCTGGCCGTAAACCTCGTGCTCCTCCTCGTCCATGGCGGCGCGTGAGCTCCCTCGCCTCCCCGATGGCCCGATCTGACCCGATTCAGTTGCGGCAGGTGCGGGTTTGGTGGAGGAAGGATCCGCCGCATAGGGATCGGACGGAGAGAGGTCATGCGCCTCCAATAGGCCGAAATTTGATGGGCCTTATGGGATTTCGATCATGACGATGACAGTAACGGGCTTATAGCCAACCTGGCGGTCCATCCCGCTCATATGACCACACAGGCACACAGCCCACTCGAGACACCGCGCGTGGTGGTCCCCACGTGTCCGTGGTGGCGCTGTGTGTCACCCGTTGGTCCCTTCGCGTCCGCGTGGGCCCCCGGATGGACGGCGCAGACGCTGAGACGCTGATGAAGCGTGCCGAGCGGCCGCCCGCGGCCCGCCTGTCAGAGATAAAAATCCCCGTGCCACCTTGCCAGCTGGCCAAGAATGCGGTCCCGCTCCGGCGCTCCCTACGCGTATGATTCGATAATTAACAATTGAAGTTTAGCAAACAGCATCATCCAACCGTCCAAATGCTTCATGCCAATTGAAGTGTGAATCTCTGGTTGAGCTGCACCGTACGATGGATCACTCTTGGTGCCAGCGATGATACAACGCTAATCCATCGCACCACGAATGATGGCCCCGTTCGCTTCGTTGAAAAAACAAACCGAAACACTGCGACGTCGGGTTGGGAAACGGAAAGCACAACGCCTCACCTGCTTTGGCCTTTGGCCGGCGTCGCTGCTTTCAGAGGCCTCGTTCGACTGGTCGAGTTGGCGGCTGAACCGGCTGGAGCTGGTTGGACCCCATGACCCAGGCGGAGGACCAAGCGTTCGGCTGGTCGACATTATTCAGCTGCCGCCATCCCAGTCTCTCTCCCGTCTCATTTGGTCGCGCGCTTAGGTTTCCACTGCTCCTAGCTGCCGCCATCCTCACTCACTCTCCCTTCTCGCCTTCGCCCGCGCCGCTGGTCCCTCATCGCCGCCGGACGGCGTCCGTCGTAAACCCCTCCCATCCCTTTTCCCAGAGAACGAAGGCGACATCCACACGGGCCGTCTCGCTGGTACTAGTTCGGTGGCGCCTTCTCCGAGCCGTAGCCGTCTCGCGAACCAGATCCAGACGATTCGTCGCCGCCGGCGGGAGATCCGCCTTCCACGGCATCGGATCCGTCGTCTCCTCCTGCTTCCGCCGTCCCTACAATATTGAGCTGCCGCCAGCCCACTCTCTCTCTCTCCTGCTCATTCGATTCAGCGCGCATATAGGTTTCGCCTCGCGAACCGAGATCCAATGATTCGTGGCCGCCGGCGAAGATCCGCCTCCCACACACCGCCTGTCATCTCCTCCTCGCTCGCCGTCCCCTACAATATTGAGCTGCCACCAACCCACTCTCTCTCCCGTCTCATTCGGTCGCGCGCATAGGTTTCCGTCTCGCGAACCAGATCCAGTCGATTCGTCGCCATCGGCGGGAGATCCGCCTTCCACGGCACCGGATCCGTCACCTCCTCCTGCTTCCGTCGTCCCTACAACGGTATTTTCGGTATGCTTCCCTCTACTGCTATCCCATTTTTTGCGTTCCGCTATCAGATCCGCTGGGTTAGGGTTGCAAGTTTTCTGCTCCGAGTTGTGGATGCCTAAGTAGAGACGGATTATTAGGGACACATTGGCCTTGCACATCCGTTGCATCGAGGGTTAGAATAAACTCCAATTTTTTTAATGCTTTCATTTACACTTGGCTACCCTAGTTTGTCATGTAGTCCAATCATGGATGAGTTGTACATCTCTGTCCTCATACTCCTGCTTATGCAGTCAGTCAATAAGCAATATGCGGATGTGCCTTTCATTCAGTTTTACTAGGAAAACAATGCAATGTTTGAGCCTATAGTTTACCAATACATGTTGGCTTGATGATTCAAATGCACAGAGTTGTATACATCCAAGGAACCGTTGCATTCAGTAGGTTTCGCCAGTGGAAATGGTAGCCTGTATGCGCCATTTGACCTATTCAGCAGCTGTTCAGTACTACTGATGTGCCTGGGAGTACTTTGGTAAGCATTTAGCTCTAACATGGGAACATGTTTATCATGTAGGTGTGTTCTTTCAAAGTATATATTCTGGCACCGTCGTCAACAGCTTCCTGCTCCCCACCGGAATCCCCCCGGTGCAACTTGTGTTCCAAGCGTGTGAAGCGAGAGATCAAGGCAAGTACACAATTCTGACCATTGCATCATATTTTAGTTATTTCGTTCAATCCTTTAGTTTTTTTCGGTAGCATTAGTATGTCCAGCCACAAACGACAATAGCCCTTCCACGTTCCAACAGATGCCACAAAAGCGTGCAACTTGGATCGAGGATGAAACCAAGCTGCTGCTGGACCTTTGTCTTCAAGAGAAGGAAAAGTGTAACTTCACCCAGCAGGGTCTCACCAGTGGTGGCTGGCACAACATTTACACTTATTTCCCCCAGTTTGATAAGAGACAATGCAACAATAAGCTAGGCTACTAAAAAAAGCCTACCAGACATGGAAAGATGGGCTGACAGCCACTGGGCTTGGGAGAAACCCACGTACGGGCGCCATTGATGCTGACACTGAGTACTGGGAAACTCAAGATGGTTCCCAGCCCATGAACTCGGTACGTGATCTTGATAATAGTTTCGATTACATAGGCTTCATTGTTTAACATTATGTGCTCCTTTTGTTTTTTTGTTAGGATGGTAGTCAGCCTGAGGCCCTCTGTGGTAGGCAACCTCCCTTCCTGGACCAATTGGAGGCACTGTTCGGGGACCGCAACCGGAACACGGGCTGCTTCGTGTCCGCTGGTGGTATTCGGGAGTCAATGCCTCCTGCTGCCGTGCGTCGGCTAGACTTAGGCGACCCATCCAGCTACCACTCTGGTTCGAAGAGGGACAGCAGGGATCATGTTGTCAACAGCCCAGAGAAGAAGAAGAATTGCAATGTGGGGGAGTACATTGCCCGGTTGTCTGAGAGCATTGTTGCAAGGAGCACATCAAGGGATAGAGAGCGGACCCATGAACAGGTGGAGGTAGACAAAGCTATGCAACTTTTACGAGATGACGGTGTGCCAGCCACTTCAGACATGTTCTTCTTGGCAACGGATTTGTTCAATTACTCAGTGCCCCGGCGGGTGTTCAAGAATCTGCGGACATCCGAAGAACGTATGGCGTGGCTGAGATATCAAATGAACAAGAACAACAAGTAGTTCAGCAGCTGAGATGTTGATCTTAGTGTGAAGCAACGGTGGCATTTGAGTGTCGTCTTGTATCCTTTACATTCATTGTTGTCCTAGATGTGTTGAGGTTCCATGTCTTGTAACGGGGACTTTGCCCAAAAACCATGTGTCTTATTTTTTTCTAGAACTTGTTATCAGTTGTGTGATGCGATGTATTTGTTTGAGCTGCCAGTCATAACTTGGTTGTTGAAACTATTAATCATTTCATTGTTAACAGATGCTTTAAAGTGATCTATGTTTTAACACATCAGCATGGGGTACTTTTGTTGCAGGTACATCAGGGACTGGTTGCAGAGGTCATCAGTAATCGACAAGCTTGAAGGTGTGTATGCCGTTTCCAGTTTTAGTGTAATAGATTTATGGTTTTCCTTTAGCTTGTCGACTCTGTCATAAGTTGGATAGCCATAACGTAATTTTTTGTTTTGTCTGACAATTTTACATTCTTGCAGTTGTGAATCTAACTCTTACTTTGATCTTTTCGGGCTTACTAAAGTTGCAGTTGGTAAGTGATTATCAATTATTTGTTTTGTTACGCTTCTTTATTTAGATGTTCTTGTCTTAATTTGCTATTGTCATAACAAAACAGCCTTTTAGCTGTGGCATACCAGCTAGGTTGTAAATGGTTATCGAATATGATTGATTAAAGAAACTTAGAGTTTAATTTTTGGGTTAATGGTTTGGGTCTAAAGTGGTCTCATACCAGCTTGGAATGTGCTTACCAACAATGGTTTATACTTTTGCTTGGCATCATTTAGGGGCATGGACAACAACGACGAGGAAAGTTAGAATTCTAGTGAGATGAGCTTCAACGAGGTGGTTACTGCAGCTATGGCTGCAGGCATTGCAATTTGGGACATGCTGCAGGTACCAACACAAGGTAACCCTTATGTCCCAGTGCCTGAGCCTACGGGAAGACAGTGGGTAGAGATTCTGTTGTCAGATGCTGGTAGGTGCTATGAAAACTACCGAATGCGGCCTGGAAATTTGGTTAGGTTGCATAGCATACTACGTGATAGCTATGGCCTAAAAGGCAGTAGGGAGCTTGAATCACTTGAAGCTTTAGCCATGTTTCTATGGGCATGTGGTACAAATCAATGCTAGAGACAAATGCATGAGAGATTTAGGAGGGGGTTGGAGACATGTAGCAAGGTATTTGCCCATGTTCTAGCTGCCATGACTGGATTTGCAAATGACATAATTAGGCCTAGGGACACTAGTTATTCAGTAGTGCCCACTGAATTGGTGGAGTACTTGCCATTTTTTGATGGATGCATAGGCGCCATGGATGGCACTCATATAGATGTCATAGTTGATCAAGGACTCTGTGATAACCACATTAATAGGAAAGGAAGGTCAACCCAAAATGTGATTGCGGTCTGTGACTTTGACATGAGGTTCACATATATTGGGGCAGGGATAGAGGGTTCTGCACATGATATGCGGGTCAAAAGAAAGGCAGAAGCTGATGCCTCTTTCCCACATCCACCATCATGTTAGTTGAACTTAGATAATTTTGGTTGTGTCAAGCTGTAGCTAATTGTTTGTTAACTGTTCAGCTGATGTGAATTTATGCAGGACGCTATTACTTGGTGGACTCCGGTTACACACTTCGCCCCGGGTATCTGACGCCGTATCCAAATAAGAGGTATTGGGTGAAGGAGTTCCAGACAAGGGGGGCAACAGATGCGCACGAGCTGTTCAACCGACATCATTCCAAGCTGTGAAATGTCATAGAGAGGATATTTGGGGCAACGAAAG